TTTTTTTATTTATTGTTTATAATTATTTCTTTTTATTTATTTGTTTTTGTTATATTATTTGTTCTTTTTATTTCCTCTTTAAATTTGGTTGATTTTTAAATGTTAAAAATAGAACCATTAAAAATAGAACATTATTAATTTTTTCAAATATTAAAAGGAAATTAAGAAAAAATTTATAATGATGAAGATACAACGTTGTATATAATTTCATTAAAAATTAACAATCAAACTTAGATAAAAAAAAAGCGGATAGGTGTGTTGCTCGTTTAACAAAACATAATTTTATCAAAACACTCACTATACAAATATTTGAAAAGCTTTATTTTACTTATTTTTTTATTAAAATTAAATTTTTTATTTTGTGCATGATTTTTTTGTGTGTTGATTCTTGGGTTTTTTTTTGTTTCTATTAAGTTGAAAGATATAACAACATTCCCCATATCACTTTTTTCTTGAGCGAATAAATAATCACATAATTTTTAGATTACCACTTCAATATTACCATTACTATTAATAAAAAAAATAAAAAAAAAATTAATTCATTATTTAATTTTATTTTACATATTAATTTAATATGGACATGTTGTATTTTTTTTGTTTATTTGTTGTATAATGTGGGTGTGTTGCATTAATTTCTTATCGTATTAAACTTTAAAAATTTTTTTATAATCAACCAAAAAAAATTATTTAATATAACAGTATATGAAATGTATTATTTTTTATGTTCAGATTTAAAAAATTTTAAAAAAAAAAAAAAATTAAAAAAAAATTGTTGGGTAATTTTTAAAAAAAAAATTTTATGGGGAAATGTTTATTTTTTTCATATTAAAAATTTAAAAAAAAAAATTTTTTTTTACTTTTTTTTTGGTCTGCATGTTTTGAAAATAAATTTGGCAGATTTCGATATCCGCCGGGCTTTGATCTCCAAAAACGACAAGCTCATTAAAAGTACTCTGAAACTTAATTTTTTTCAAAGTTTGGCTAGCACTTGCTTTACTACCTTCTTTTTCTGAATCAAAAAATTCTTCACTCTCCGATTTTTCACTTTCTGACACTTCTTTCGTTTTTTTTGGACTTTTTCTTAAAGAGATAGAAAGCGGGTTTGTATCCAATGGGGCTGAGTTAGCAAATGGTATATTATATATCATTATATCACCAGATAGTGTTGATGTGATTTTTTTTGGATCATAATGCTTTTTTGGTAAATAGATTGTTTCGGTGTAGGGACCAGTGAAATCATAATTATAATGAAGTCTTTCTGCTTCGGAACCCATTAGTAATGTGCACTCTATTCTTGATAACAGTCGTGCATAAAATGTTATCGATAAAAATGGAATACCATTTTCGTCTCTGTTAAAAGAAAAAAAAAAAAAAAAAAAAAAAAAAAAATTTAATAAGACAATAATTGTGAATTAAAATTAATTTTTAGATTACTTACTTATCTATCTCCGCTCCATCTTCTGGTATAGGATTAGTTGTTGGTTTGAAAAATATTCATATAAAACTTGATTGTGGTTCGCTTGTGGACAATTTAAACGGCTCCATCTTCTGGTATAGGATTAGTTGTTGGTTTGAAAAATACTCATATAAAACTTGATTGTGGTTCGCTTGTGGATAATTTAAACGGCTCCATCTTCTGGTATAGGATTAGTTGTTGGTTTGAAAAATAATCATATAAAACTTGATTGTGGTTTACTTGGGGATTTTGATATTGTTGATTGGGGACCTGATTATCCAACTCCATTTCACTTGAATGAATGTCATCCCTAATATAAGTAATTCTAATTTTTAATTCAGGAAGAAGAATATTTGGTTGGAGCGGTTGATTGAATTTGAAGAGAACGATATTTTGACATGTTAGAGGTTAGTCACTAGCTTGGCAAAGAAAAGATGTTGTATGCTGAATGCTAATGGTAATTATTAATTAGTATTTATTTATTTATTTATTTATTTATTTTGGAAATAAATTAATTAATTACCTTCAATTGTGAGATTTTCTTTTTTTAGTGTGGATCTAATTATTGAGTTATATTATTCTGGTGCTATATGGCTAGAATTTGCTTCCCTCGTTGAAGATCTTCCAGGTATAACTTTACCCATAAAGTGTTAGAGAATGGGTTTTTTTTTTTTTTTTTTTTTTTTATATTGTGTTGTTAACAAAAGGCAATTGATGAATATAAAAAAAATTAAAAAAAATTAAAAAAAAATTAAAAAAAAAATTAAAAAAAAATTTGCAAAAAAAAATTAAAAAAAAAATTAATAAAAATTATAACAACACATTTATTTATTTATTTTTATTACTCTCCCTAAATCATTTTTTTATTTGAAAAGCATTAATATTGATTTTATTTTAATTGAAATAATTTCAATTTTAAAAATCTCTGCAAAAAACATAATAATAATAAATATGATGAAAATGATATTAATATTAAAAAATAAAAATAAAAATAAAAATAAAAAATTAAAAAAAATTAAAAATTAAAAATTAAAAAAAAAAATTAAAAAATTTTGGTAAAAAAAATATGATTGGAATCATATCTTATTTTTATTCATATCGCAAAATGAATGTTACCCAATTATTGGATAGTTTGAAAACCAAAAAAAAATGATAATGCAGAAACAGTTTATGCAAATAACAAAGGCATATTCAATTCTTTTTTGAAAAAAATGAAATAATGTGGGAAGAATCTGAAAGGTTTTCCTTTTTTCAAAGTATAATAAAAGAATTTATCCAACTGCACCAAAAATAAATAATAAAAAACATAAAAAAAATCCCAAAGAATTTAAAGAACCAGAAGAAGACATCAGCGAAATAGCTACTATCAAATCGAAAAATGAAGATGATGAAATGAGTGAAGAGGATGAAGAATATGAAGAGGGTGAAAAGGATGAAAAAAGTGAAGAGGATGTTGATGATAAAAAGAGTGAAAGGGATGAAAAGAGTGAAGAGGGTAAAAAGGTGAAAAAGTGAACAGGATGAAGAGGAAGAAGAGTGTGAAAAGGGTGAAAAGGGTGAAAAGGACGAAAAAAGTGAAGAGGATAAAGATGATAAAAAGAGTGGAAAGGGTAAAGAGGATGAAAAAAGTAAAGAGGATGAAGAGGGTGAAAATAATAAAGAAAATAATGAGAATAAAGAGTTATCAAATGAAAATTTTAAAGATTCAAGTATTTAGGAACAAACAAATGAAAAAGAAATTTATGAACCCACCTCAGAAGATGAAATCGATGAATTTTCCTAATTATTATTGTTTTTATCATAGCTCAAGTGCAGAGAGAAACAAATTTATATCGCTTCAACTTGAAACCCATCATTTCATAATAAAACATATGCAAATGCAATAAGTACAACAAATAGAACAACAAATACAACAAACAATGGATAAGTTACCAACCAATCAAAAAATTATATTTCATATTTATTACAAATCCAGAATTGTTAAAGAAAAGTTAAAGAAAAATAGGATTTATAAGATCGA